ACACCGCTGGTACCGGTCATAGGCAATTCCACTCAGCTCCACGTGCTCCTGTGCCACGTCACTCCATCTCTTCTCTAGCCCGTGCCGCGCCCGTTTAGCCCCCTTGATCCGGCCAAACAAAAGCTGTTTCGGCATGCGGTGGCTGGGCATGCAGGCTACATGACCCAGCCAACGCAGCCTTGCTTGTCGGATGAGCTCACCGATGGGACTGTGCCCAGATCTTTCAAGGATTTGTGAGCTCCTCACACAATTCAGCCTGGTTAAACCCAAGATGGATCGTAGGCAGGCCAGCCTAAATGTTTCTAACCGGCGAAGATGTTCCATTAGGGGGGTCCACGTTTCGCAAGCTTAGAGAAGGGAGGGAATGACCGTGGCCGAAAAGACCTGAAGCTTAGTGCGGAGCGACAGGCCAGGTAGCTTCCACACAGCGTTACGCAACCGATGAAAAGATATTGCCGCTCGACTGATTCGGAGTGAGACCTCTGCTGTTAAATTGGAGCCGGTCATAAGCACACTGCCCAGGTATGGGAAACTCTCAACTCTATTCACAACTGCCCCATCACCGATTGGAAGTTGTGGGGGTGGAGTGTCCGATGGTACAAAATACCCAGGCAGGTGCTTAGATTTGGTGGGGTTGATGGTAAGGCCCCACCTCTTAGTGGCACGCTCCAGTTTCAGCAACAGCGTCTCCAACTCCTCCTCTGAATGAGCAGCAATTACCAAATCATCAGCATACATAACGTGGTTGGGCAATAGGGAGCCATCCCTTGACCGCACCCGGGCATCGATCAGCCTCCCATTATATCTGTACCATATGGAGATTCCCCCGGTACAGCTATTGAAGGCTTCACGAACTACGTGGTCAAAATAGATGTTAAATAATGTGGGAGCCAGAGGTCATCCCTGTCGCACCCCAAGGTGTACAGGGAATGGCTCTGACTCCCGGCCACGTAGTTTTACCCGGGCCCGCTCACCATCATGAAGGTCCTTAATGATCGTGAGCAGAGGGTTAGGTACTCCAAAAGCACGAAGAACAACCCAGAGCCCAGGCCTACTGATGGTATCATAGGCCTTGACCAGGTCAATAAAGCAGAGATGTAGGTCTTGCTGGAATTCCCTACACCTCTGCTGTAGCAGACGGACAGAAAATATGACATCTGTGCAGGACCGCCCTTTCCTGAAACCGCATTGGGGCTCCGCAAGCCTCTCCTCAGTGTGCCTAGCAAGGCGATGTTGAATAATCCTTGCCAGGACTACACACACTCACACACAGATAAAGCAACCCCAGGTAGCCTCTGGCAGGGCTGTAGGGGCAAGTGCTGTTAGTAGCGAGTAGCAGCAGCAGTGTCTATGTACTACACTCACCACACACACAGACAAAGCTACCCAAGGTAGCCTCTAGCATGGCTGTAGGGGCAAGTGCAGTTAGTAGCGAGTAGCAGCAGCAGTGTCTATGTACTACACACACCACACACAGACAAAGCTCCCCCAGGTAGCCTCTAGCAGGGCTGTGTCTGGCTAAGTGAGTGTCTGACTGAGTGAGTGTCTGGCTGAGTGAGTGTCTGGCTGAGTGAGTGTCTGGCTGAGTGAGTGTCTCAGTGAGTGTCTGGCTGAGTGAGTGTCTGGCTGAGTGAGTGTCTGACTGAGTGAGTGTCTGACTGAGTGAGTGTCTCAGTGAGTGTCTGGCTGAGTGAGTGTCTGGCTGAGTGAGTGTCTGACTGAGTGAGTGTCTGACTGAGTGAGTGTCTCAGTGAGTGTCTGGCTGAGTGAGTGTCTGACTGAGTGAGTGTCTGGCTGAGTGAGTGTCTGGCTGAGTGAGTGTCTCAGTGAGTGTCTGGCTGAGTGAGTGTCTGACTGAGTGAGTGTCTGAGTGAGTGAGTGTCTGAGTGAGTGTCTGGCTGAGTGAGTGTCTGACTGAGTGAGTGTCTGACTGAGTGAGTGTCTGGCTGAGTGAGTGTCTGGCTGAGTGAGTGTCTGACTGAGTGAGTGTCTGAGTGAGTGAGTGTCTGAGTGAGTGAGTGTCTGCCTGAGTGAGTGTCTGCCTGAGTGAGTGTCTGGCTGAGTGAGTGTCTGACTGAGTGTCTGGCTGAGTGAGTGTCTGGCTGAGTGAGTGTCTGACTGAGTGAGTGTCTGACTGAGTGAGTGTCTGTCTAAGTGAGTGTCTGGCTGAGTGAGTGTCTGGCTGAGTGAGTGTCTGGCTGAGTGAGTGTCTGGCTGAGTGAGTGTCTCACTGAGTGAGTGTCTGGCTGAGTGAGTGTCTGGCTGAGTGAGTGTCTCAGTGAGTGTCTGTCTGAGTGAGTGTCTGACTGAGTGAGTGTCTCAGTGAGTGTCTGGCTGAGTGAGTGTCTGCCTGAGTGAGTGTCTGGCTGAGTGGGTGTCTCAGTGAGTGTCTGACTGAGTGAGTGTCTGTCTGAGTGAGTGTCTCAGTGAGTGTCTGCCTGAGTGAGTGTCTGTCTGAGTGAGTGTCTGACTGAGTGAGTGTCTGACTGAGTGAGTGTCTAAGTAAGTGAGTGTCTCAGTGAGTGTCTGTCTGAGTGAGTGTCTGACTGAGTGAGTGTCTGTCTGAGTGAGTGTCTCAGTGAGTGTCTGACTGAGTGAGTGTCTGACTGAGTGAGTGTCTGAGTGAGTGAGTGTCTGTCTGAGTGAGTGTCTGACTGAGTGAGTGTCTGACTGAGTGAGTGTCTGACTGAGTGAGTGTCTGAGTGAGTGAGTGTCTGGCTGAGTGAGTGTCTGAGTGAGTGAGTGTCTGCCTGAGTGAGTGTCTGACTGAGTGAGTGTCTGAGTGAGTGTCTGGCTGAGTGAGTGTCTGACTGAGTGAGTGTCTGGCTGAGTGAGTGTCTGGCTGAGTGAGTGTCTGACTGAGTGAGTGTCTGAGTGAGTGAGTGTCTGCCTGAGTGAGTGTCTGGCTGAGTGAGTGTCTGAGTGAGTGAGTGTCTGCCTGAGTGAGTGTCTGACTGAGTGAGTGTCTGAGTGAGTGTCTGGCTGAGTGAGTGTCTGACTGAGTGAGTGTCTGGCTGAGTGAGTGTCTGGCTGAGTGAGTGTCTGGCTGAGTGAGTGTCTAAGTGAGTGAGTGTCTGAGTGAGTGTCTGACTGAGTGAGTGTCTGGCTGAGTGAGTGTCTGGCTGAGTGAGTGTCTGAGTGAGTGAGTGTCTGAGTGAGTGAGTGTCTGCCTGAGTGAGTGTCTGCCTGAGTGAGTGTCTGGCTGAGTGAGTGTCTGAGTGAGTGAGTGTCTGGCTGAGTGAGTGTCTGAGTGAGTGAGTGTCTGGCTGAGTGAGTGTCTGTCTCAGTGAGTGTCTGGCTGAGTGAGTGTCTGAGTGAGTGTCTGACTGAGTGAGTGTCTGGCTGAGTGAGTGTCTGAGTGAGTGTCTCAGTGAGTGTCTGTCTGAGTGAGTGTGGGGTGTAACGCTCTCTAGTAAAAGTTTGCACTTGCCCCTACATCCCGTGTGCGCTACACGGGTGACCTTTGTCTCTATTAAAAGTTTGCACTTGCCACTACAGCCCGCGTGGCCTACACGGACCGCTCCACCTTTGGCTTTGTCCGCCCCCCCCACCTCATCCCCCCCCCCACTCGCCCCCACCCACCCCCCCCACTCCGAGGCGTTGTGCGCATGCGCGTTGGTGCGGGTGTGGTCGGGTGAGAGAGAGACTCACAGAGAGACACGGGGAGAGAGAGACACGGGGAGAGAGACACGGGGGAGAGAGAGACACGGGGGGAGAGAGACACGGGGAGAGAGAGACACGGGGAGAGAGACACGGGGGGAGAGACACGGGGGGGGGGAGAGACACGGGGAGACAGAGACACGGGGAGAGAGAGACACGGGGAGAGAGACACAGAGAGACACGGGGGGAGAGAGACACGGGGAGAGAGAGACACGGGGGGAGAGAGAGAGACGGGGAGAGAGAGACACGGGGAGAGAGAGACACGGGGGGAGTGAGACACGGGGAGACAGAGAGACACGGGGAGAGAGAGACACGGGGAGAGAGAGACACGGAGAGAGAGACACAGAGACACAGAGAGAGACACAGAGAGAGAGAGAGAGCCACGGGGAGAGGGTGACACAGGGGGGGAGAGAGAAGTAACATCTACGAGAGTTTTGCATCACTCCCAAGTTACACGGAGAGAGGGAGAGGGGAGATTGGGGAGAGAGGAAGAGAGGGAGGAGAGAGAGAGGAGAGAGGGGAGAGAGAGAAGAGAGAGGGGAGATTGGGGAGAGAGAGAGGGGAGAGAGAGGGGAGAGAGAGAGAGAAGAGAGAGAGGGGAGATTGGGGAGACGTTGTACAGCGAGAGAGATATACGTGCACAGGTGTACAGGTAGACGTACAGGTAGACACACAGACACACAGGTAGACGTACAGGTAGACACACAGGTGTACAGGTAGACAGACAGGTAGACACACAGACACACAGGTGTACAGGTAGACGTACAGGTAGACACACAGGTGTACAGGTAGACACACAGGTAGACAGGTAGACAGACAGGTAGACACACAGGTAGACAGGTAGACAGACAGGTAGACAGGTAGACACACAGGTAGACACACAGGTACACAGGTAGACACAGGTAGACAGGTAGACAGACAGGTAGACAGACAGGTAGACAGACAGGTAGACACACGGACACACAGGTGTACAGGTAGACAGACAGGTAGACAGGTAGACACACAGGTAGACAGACAGGTAGACAGGTAGACACACAGGTAGACACACAGGTAGACACACAGGTAGACAGGCAGACACACAGGTAGACACACAGGTGTACAGGTAGACACACAGGTAGACATACAGGTAGACAGACAGGTAGACCGGTAGACAGACAGGTAGACAGGTAGACACACAGGTAGACACAGGTAGACAGGTAGACAGACAGGTAGCCAGGTAGACACACAGGTAGACATACAGGTAGACAGGTAGACAGACAGGTAGACAGGTAGACACACAGGTAGACAGACAGGTAGACAGGTAGACACACAGGTAGACAGACAGGTAGACAGGTAGACATACAGGTAGACACACAGGTAGACAGACAGGTAGACAGGTAGACAGACAGGTAGACAGACAGGTAGACAGACAGGTAGACAGACAGACACAGGTGTGTAGTGAGACACTACACAGGTGACACTAAGAGGCGCGATGACGCGTCATTCGGAGCTCAACCGGCAAACGGAGGGCGTTTACAAGGTAGAGTACAACCACACGGACACTCGGACACTCACTGAGACACACACAGAGACACTCACTGAGACACACACAGAGACACTCACTCACTGAGACACTCACTCACTGAGACACACAGAGACACTCACTGAGACACTCACTGAGACACACACAGAGACACTCACTGAGACACACACAGAGACACTCACTGAGACACACACACAGACACTCACTGAGACACACACAGAGACACTCACTGAGACACACACTCACTGAGACACACTCTCACTGAGACACTCACTCACTGAGACATTCACTCACTGAGACACACACAGAGACACTCACTGAGACACACACAGAGACACTCACTGAGACACTCACTGAGACACACACAGAGACACTCACTGAGACACACACAGAGACACTCACTCACTGAGACACTCACTCACTGAGACACACACAGAGACACTCACTGAGACACACACAAAGACACTCACTCACTGAGACACACACAGAGACACTCACTGAGACACACACTCACTGAGACACACACAGAGACACTCACTCACTGAGACACACACAGAGACACTCACTCACTGAGACACTCACACACAGAGACACACACAGAGACACTCACTGAGACACACTCACTGAGACTCACTCACTGAGACATTGACTCACTGAGACACACAGAGACACACACTCACTGAGACACTCACTGAGACACTCACTGAGACACTCACTGAGACACTCACTCACTGAGACACACACAGAGACACTCACTCACTGAGACACTCACTCACTGAGACACACACAGAGACACTCACTCACTGAGACACTCACTCACTCACTGAGACACACACTCACAGAGACACACACAGAGACACTCACTCACTGAGACACTCACTCACTGAGACACACACTCACTGAGACACTCACTCACTGAGACACACACTCACTCAGCCAGACACTCACTTAGACACACACAGAGACACTCACTCACTGAGACATTCACTCACTGAGACACTCACTGAGACACTCAGCCGGACACTCACTCAGCCAGACACTCACTCGGCCAGACACTCACTCAGCCAGACACTCACTGAGACACTCACTCAGTCAGACACTCACTCAGCCAGACACTCACTCAGCCAGACACTCACTCAGACAGACACTCACTGAGACACTCACTGAGACACTCACTCAGCCAGACACTCACTCAGCCAGACACTCACTCACTCAGACACTCACTCAGACAGACACTCACTCAGCCAGACACTCACTGAGACACTCACTCAGTCAGACACTCACTCAGTCAGACACTCACTCAGCCAGACACTCACTCAGACAGACACTCACTGAGACACTCACTGAGACACTCACTCAGCCAGACACTCACTCAGCCAGACACTCACTCAGCCAGACACTCACTCACTCAGACACTCACTCAGACAGACACTCACTCAGCCAGACACTCACTGAGACACTCACTCAGTCAGACACTCACTCAGTCAGACACTCACTCAGCCAGACACTCACTCAGCCAGACACTCACTGAGACACTCACTCAGTCAGACACTCACTCAGCCAGACACTCACTCAGCCAGACACTCACTCAGACAGACACTCACTGAGACACTCACTGAGACACTCACTCAGCCAGACACTCACTCAGCCAGACACTCACTCACTCAGACACTCACTCAGACAGACACTCACTCAGCCAGACACTCACTGAGACACTCACTCAGTCAGACACTCACTCAGTCAGACACTCACTCAGCCAGACACTCACTGAGACACCTCTCAAGATGATGATGTTGGTGATGATGTTGATGTCATGATGGTGGTGATGCAGGCGATGGTGGTGGTGATGATGGTGGTGATGTTGATGGTGATGTTGATGGTGATGATGTTGGTGATGTTGATGGTGATGTTGGTGGTGATGATGTTGGTGATGATGTTGGTGATGATGTTGGTGATGATGTTGATGATGGTGATGCAGGTGATGGTGGTGGTGATGATGGTGGTGATGTTGATGGTGATGTTGATGGTGATGATGTTGGTGATGTGTATGGTGGTGATGGTGGTGATGATGGTGATGATGTTGATGGTGGTGATGCAGGTGATGTTGATGGTGGTGATGCAGGTGATGGTGATGGGGGTGATGGGGGAGTTTGTCGTGGTTTAGCGCTACGCTGCGCTACGAACCTGGCGAGCCGAGTTCGATTCCCGCTCACGGCCACCAACACCGCCAGTGACGATTAATCCGAACCGGTCCTGAGGCCTCCCTAGGTCGACTCGGCCTCAAATCAGTACCTGGTGTAGCGGTGGTGGTGTAGTGGTGGTGATGGTGGTGATGGGTGGTGGTGTAGCGGTGGTGGTGTAGTGGTGGTGGTGGTGTAGCGGTGGTGGTGGTGTAGGAGTGGTGGTGATGGTGTAGTGGTGGTGGTGATGGTGTAGTGGTGGTGGTGATGGTGTAGTGGTGGTGGTGGTGTAGGAGTGGTGGTGGTGTAGGAGTGGTGGTGGTGTAGGAGTGGTGGTGGTGGTCGTGATGGTGTAGTGGTGGTAGTGGTGTCGCGGTGGTGATGGTGTAGTGGTGGTGGTGGTGTAAAACATCGCTAGCACTGGGGGAGAGACAAAGGCGGCCGGGCGTGGTGTTGGTGGTGGCCACCCACCCCCTCTGTGTGTGTAGCCACAGTGCCGGTAGCCTTCATAGACGCTCGCCAACAGCACTTGCCCCTACAGCCCTGCTAGAGGCTACCTGGGGGAGCTTTGCCTGTGTGTGTGGTGTGTGTAGTACATAGACACTGCTGATGCTACTCGCTACTAACACAGCACTTGCCCCTACAGCCCTGCTAGAGGCTACCTGGGGGAGCTTTGTCTTTGTTTCGTGTGGGTGAGTGTATGAGTGAGTGAGTGTGTATATGAGTGAGTGAGTGTGTATGTATGTTTGTATGAGTGAGTGTATGAGTGAGTGAGTGTATGAGTGAGTGTATGAGTGTGTGTATGAGTGAGTGTATGAGTGAGTGTGTATATGAGTGAGTGTGTGTGTATGTATGTTTGTATGAGTGAGTGTATGAGTGACTGAGTGTTTGTGTGAGTGTTTGAGTGAGTGTATGAGTGTATGAGTGAGTGTATGAGTGAGTGAGTGTATGAGTGAGTGTGTGAGTGAGTGTGTGAGTGACTGAGTGTTTGAGTGAGTGAGTGTATGAGTGAGAGTGTGTGTGTAGGTGTGTGTATGAGTGAGTGAGTGTGTGAGTGATTGTGTGAGTATGTGAGTGAGTGTATGTATGAGGGAGTGAGTGTATGAGTGAGTGAGTGTATGAGTGAGCGTTTGTGTGAGTGTGTGAGTGAGTGTGTGTGTGTAGGCGAGTGTGTGTATGAGGGAGTGAGTGTTTGAGTGTGTGTGTAGGTGTGTGTATGAGTGAGTGAGTGATTGAGTGAGTGAGTGTATGAGTGAGTGAGTATATGAGTGAGTGAGTGTATGAGTGAGTGTGTGAGTGTGTGAGTGAGTGTATGAGTGAGTCAGTGAGTGTGTGAGTGAGTGTGTATGAGTGAGTGAGTGTATGAGTGAGTGAGTGTATGAGTGAGTGTGTGAGTGACTGAGTGTTTGTGTGAGTGAGTGTGTGTGTAGGTGAGTGTGTGTATGTGTAGGTGAGTGTGTGTATGAGTGAGTGAGTGTCTGAGTGAGTGTGTGAGTGACTGAGTGTGTGAGTGTGTATGAGTGAGTGAGTGTGTGAGTGACTGAGTGTGTGAGTGACTGAGTGTGTGAGTGTGTGAGTGAGTGTGAGTGAGTGTGTGTGTAGGTGAGTGTGTGTATCAGGGAGTGAGTGGAACTCTGTAAATGTGTTTGAGATGATCTTTGTTTGATACAGTGAGTCTGTGTGAGCGCGTGTGAGTGAGTGTGTGAGTGAGTGTATGAGTGAGTGAGTGTATGAGTGAGTGAGTGTATGAGTGAGTGTGTGAGTGACTAAGTGTTTGTGTGAGTGTGTGAGTGAGTGTGAGTGTGTGTGTGTAGGTGAGTGTGTGTATGAGTGAGTGTATGAGTGAGTGAGTGTATGAGTGAGTGAGTGTATGAGTGAGTGTGTGAGTGTGTGAGTGAGTGTATGAGTGAGTCAGTGAGTGTGTGAGTGAGTGTGTATGAGTGAGTGAGTGTATGAGTGAGTGAGTGTATGAATGAGTGAGTGTGTGAGTGACTGAGTGTGTATGAGTGAGTGAGTGTATGAGTGAGTGTGAGTGAGTGTGTGTGTAGGTGAGTGTGTGTATGAGTGAGTGTGAGTGAGTGTGTGTAGGTGAGTGTGTGTATGAGTGAGTGAGTGGAACTCTGTAAATGTGTTTGAGATGATCTTTGTTTGATACAGTGAGTCTGTGTGAGCGCGTGTGAGTGAGTGTGTGAGTGAGTGTATGAGTGAGTGAGTGTATGAGTGAGTGAGTGTATGAGTGAGTGTGTGAGTGACTAAGTGTTTGTGTGAGTGTGTGTGTGAGTGTATGAGTGAGTGAGTGTATGAGTGAGTGTATGAGTGAGTGAGTGAGTGTATGAGTGAGTGAGTGTATGAGTGAGTGTGTGAGTGTGTGTATGAGTGAGTGTGTGAGTGTGTGAGTGAGTGTGTATGAGTGAGTGAGTGTATGAGTGAGTGAGTGTATGAATGAGTGAGTGTGTGAGTGACTGAGTGTGTATGAGTGAGTGAGTGTATGAGTGAGTGTGAGTGAGTGTGTGTGTAGGTGAGTGTGTGTATGAGTGAGTGTGAGTGAGTGTGTGTAGGTGAGTGTGTGTATGAGTGAGTGAGTGGAACTCTGTAAATGTGTTTGAGATGATCTTTGTTTGATACAGTGAGTCTGTGTGAGCGCGTGAGTGGATAGGCGTGTGGATTTGTGTGTGCGTGTGTGTCTGTGTGTGCGTGTGTAGGAGTCTGTGGGTGAGTGTGTGTGTGCGTCTGTGTGTGTCTGTGTGTGCGTGTGTATGAGTGAGTGAGTGTGTGAGTGTGTGTGTGTGTGAGTGTGTGAGTGAGTGTGTTAGTCTG